GGGGACTGCTGGAAATGACAGTTGCATCAATAGATAAGAAATATTAACTCCATTTACTTACAGGTAGCTTTCTGTTGAACACACGAAGGCTAAATACAAATTATTAACAAATTTTGCAGAATCTGGACACAGAAACCAATTCTGAAAGTGATAATGAAACTAGAGATTGAAACTAAAGGGTGGTTATTAAAACATTAACTTTATTATATTGAACAGATATAATAATTATATCTGATTATATCTGTTCAATATAATAAAGTTAATGTTCTAATAACCACCCTTTAGTTTCAATCTCTAGTTTCACTATCACTTTTATTACTATTATTACACCAATATGAGGAAGATACCAGACAAGATTCCCCTATTGTTTAGTTGTTTTTTGTTTTGTTTTGTTATTTTTTTTATCAGGTCTGGATGCCATATGCAGCATATAATCTAACTATAAATTAATGTCAATTTAAAAACTTGCACACCACTAAGCATTCTCTAAACACTGTTGTGACAAAAGATACTTTTTTAACAGCTGAACTTTCATATTCTTTAAGTCATTCTTCAATCTTTTGCTCTTTACTGGGTGTATCTATAAACATTGTTTGCTGTTAACAGTAATCAAAAAGCCTGCCAGACTAGGCTGAAAAACCATTTAATATATCTTAGCCTGCGAGTAAGCTCTCCGGGGGTATAATTACTCCGGCGGGCCCCACCGGTGGGCCCCACCACCAGAGCGTCCCAGAGAGCTTGCTCGCAGGCTATTAATATCTATTTTTGGGGCGCAGACATTTTTTTAAACCTCATTCTATTTGTAAGGTTTTGTTTTAATAACCAATCCTAAGTGTTCTGCATAAAGTACACTCCAAAGAAATCACATTCTTTGCTATAAGGCCCGTTTAGATGCTGAATTTTTATAAAACAATTTAGGGGGCTCTCCTCTGATTTTGTGCAAGCTTTTGGAGAATGAAGGTACACTCACCCAGGGTTACACAAAATGACATTTGAATGATGAGAAAGACATCAAATCGTTCTGAAAAGCGCAAGTAAACTATAATAATAACGAAGTCTTTTTAAAGGCTTTGAAAAGATTTGCCAATTGATGTATCTCCAGCAAACTTGAAAAGGGATCGCCCTAACTTTTTTAAGGATTACTCCACTTAAGTTTTCTTACGACATATATAGCTCTCTTTTAATGACTTCTAGAGAGGCCATTTAGGTTACTATATTCACCGTTTTTTATTAGATCATATTATCTATGCACCTTGTTTACCCCGCCAAATTTTGCATTTTGTTAAATCCGGCCAGTTTCTCCTGGATATAATGGTTGTCCCAACAGAAATTGAAGAGAAGAAAGGTTGTGCAAAATTTTGGGGGTAAACAAGGTGCATTGTGGCCTACAGTTATGTGAAAATGGTGGATAAGTGCATTTCCAAGATATATACATTTGTTGGATTTTGAAGTAGCACAAAACCTTGATGACAGTGCCCCTGAAAAGTACTTGGAAAGTTTGGCACTTCTATAAACTAAATCAGCCATTCAATTAACCTAGATATTGAGAATTCAAGTCCCAAACCAAATGCATAGATTATTATTTAGTGTTACATTTTAATAAAAATGATGCAGTCAGTCAAATCACAGGCACCAATGAATAAACACACTTTAGAGATAACTATTTGCTCTGTTTGAGGTATTGCTAATTGTTATTATTTACACAGAGGTGTACTAAGCCTTTGTACCTAAAAAATTTTTTATGCTTCGAAATATCACACTTAAAATATAAAGGAGGAATAACAGCTGTATATGATACAAAAAGCAACACTAACCTCAGGTCAGTGATGAGTATCTCATGCTTACACAAAGACAAAGATCATCTGAATTAGAGAAACCGTCAATTTGTACTGAGTTTTGACTCTAAAGGTAATGAGTCTGTTATTTCTCACCACTGGACCTTCAGGATCTTTGCAGGAACCATGAGAAACTTTGCAATATTACATGCAAGATCCTTAAAATCACTTTTGCTAAGATCCTAAGGGATCTTAGTAAGACCAACAAAAATTATCCTTGTGCAGATAACTGAAGATTCTTGAAGATTAGGTACAACTTTTTTCACCAGGGATAAGGATAAGCTTGATGGAGTGGAAAGTTAACCCTGACTGGAATAAACCCCTACAGTTGGAATTGACTTCTGACTGATTAACTGCTAAATTCTCCCTTCGAATTTGCTGGCTTAAAGGTTTTGGATCAAAGGGAGAATTTGATATCAGATGAAGAGTCTTTTCTTGTCTTATTCCACACACCCTTTCATTATTGTTGTTTAAAACCAATAAACTCGAAGACATACACCTGCAACAGTAATAGTGAACAGTGCAGATTATCTTATCAATATGAGTGCCATCAAAGGCAAAGTTTTGCATTTTGCTACATGTATACAGTTGATTGGCTTCACTGGATGTGGCTATTAATAATAAACATCAATTACTTAAGCTTGTATATGATTATTTATGTTGAGACAGCTTTTCCCTGAACATAAATGCCTGACTGTGCTACATGTAAATATTCTATAATATTAAAAGAATTTTTAAAACTAAAATTCCCAAAACAACAGTGTCAACATTATACTTATCTCCCCATAATGAACACTAACAGATCTCCGTCTTTAAGGTGCTCACTGCAGTGTAATTCACCTATACCCATGGGCAACTGCAAGTTCTGTGAAAGTTGTAGGTTAACATGACTCAGTATTTTTGTATCAATAAAGTCTATCTTTTGATTTGAACTATCAAAACTGTTTTAATATTTATGAAGGTTTGTATTCATGTGCATCATGCGCAACTGCATAAAATTAATTAAAAAGAGATTGAAACATGATCTTGAATAGCTTGTTTATTTACCTTTGGTACGTCGGCAGAAATTTTTTTTTGCCTATAGCCAACAACTAAATTAATGTTTTCCGCATTCATTTCAAAAGTGCAGAATGCATAGCAGGGAATTTTGTTCTTTGTTCATTGGAAGTTAGCCTGAGAATCATAACTTTTAATTAGGCCCCCATTCGGGCTGCCTGTTTGAAATTTTGGTTGCCTGAGGGTAAATTGTAGCCTGGGAATCGTAGGTGCCTCTGGCGACCGGGTGGCTGTTAGGCAGCAGCCTTGTGAGTCCAAACCTTTTCAAATTTGGTGCATAAATGTGAACACTTTTTTGTTTAGAATATTATCCTCATTAATTTATCCTCTGATAACTTTGAACGTGAATATTAGGAAAGTTAATAAAAAGATGCCTGTTTTGCAGATATAGGTTTATTTAATTTGTTTGTACCGAATGTTTTGGGCAACTAATATACTTCTTCAGGCATCTAGATTGTGAGGCTTTGTTGCCCGAAGAGCATCCAACTTAAAAAGTTAGTCATGCAAGTAGAAGCATTTATCATTGCCTGGACGTACTAAGCGCGACCCTTTCTGTTGTATTTGCATAAAAAATAACTTTGATTGAAAGTGCCGCCGACTTGTGAACTTGGGATGGAGTCATACTACAAGCTTGTATTACTCATACTCTTGCCCTCCAACATGGCAGCCAAAACTATTTTTTGCTTGTATCTTGCATGTAAGGCAAAATCATATAACTTTCATTTCATAAAAATGATGTCACATGACCTCTTAGCACAAATGGCCTATTAAAAACCTTCTTAGCCTAAACTGTCAAGAATTACATGTACCACAAAAATAAAAGAACCTTTTTGCCATTCCTCAAAAAATGTAGGTTCTTATTAGTGGTTGTTTAATGTACATGTACATGTATATATATCTCACTCATTTTATCTATTGCTTTCTTTTTACGGTTAAAACTACAGTTGACTCTAGATAACTCAAACCCTTGCTAACTCGAACCTTGCACTAACTCAAACCAAAATTGATTTCCCCTGGATTTCCTTCATAAATTTACTTTAATTTTACCCTCAGAAACTCGAACCCTCGATAACTCGAACCTCCCACTAATGCGAAGTAGTTTTCGTTTCCCCTCAGATCATTTCTACATAATTTTACCCTTGATAACTTGAACCATGTTTTGAGCCCTTAAAACATCAGGAAAAAAACAGTCTACTGGCGTCCAAAACAAGGAATTTTTCATTTCGCATTGACGTGTTGTAGGCATATAGTTTACTAGTGGACACTGAGGTTGTTTGTCACAAAACTAACATTAAACAGTTTTACTTCTCAAAACAGTAAAGCACATGCTCTATTTAGGCAATGTGTTGTCACATTACGTTCTGATTTATAATCTAGAAGTATCTTTCAATTTTCACTTAAAAATTCTACAATTAACTGTGATTAAAATGTTCACTTTGCAGTAAAAGCTGTTTTTTCCTTACTCCCGGCTATTTTCTACAATTAACTGTGATTAAAATGTTCACTGTGCTGTAAAAGCTGTTTTTTCCTTACTCCCAGCTATTTTCTTCGAGCTCCTGATAACTCGAACTTTTTTCGACCCTTGAAGATTCAAGTTATCAGGAGTCGACTGTATAACACAAGACTTATTTCAAACATCAGAAAACTTAAGAGGGGATGAAGTAGTTTACAGTATAAGTAAGCTAACATGTACATGTACAGTCAACTCCCTCTAAGATGGACACCTTTGGGACTGGCAGTAAGTGTCTGTCTTAGACAGAAGTCCATCTTATAGAGAGTCAAATAAAGGGAGTAAAGAAAGGTAAGGACCAACTCTATGTGTCCGTTTTAGGGAGGTGTCCTTCTTATAGAGGTGTCCGTTAAGAGATAGTCGACTGTACATACAAGTGGTTATACAGTCAGGTCCAGTGATGCCAACCAACTGCAGCAAAAAAATCAAAAATCTGCCTTGATGACATTTATTTCTGAAAGTCAGGGGCGTAGCCAGCATTTCTGCGTAGAGCTGGGGCTCCTAATGTGGTATTTTTGAAGACACAAGTCAACAGTTATTACTTTCAGTAATAACTGTTGAATTGTGTCTTCTTCTTCTTTTTTTTTTTATTTTTGGTTTTAAACAACAATTAAGGTTACCTTTTCTTTGTAATCCTCATCTGTAAAACCCACAGCAATGTGATCCTCCACGGTCACTGTTACTCCCCAACCTAAATAACTCTGTGCTTTACCCAGCTGAATTCTGCGAACAAATTCGCCATTGACAGTGTGTATAGCCAGCGTAGTGTGGCCTGTCCTTCTTTTAAAACCAGCAAGGACGACATGTTCACCTGACAGGTGACATGCAATGAAATTATAGCAATCTCCCTCGGATTTGATATCAAATTTGCCAAGCTGGTGTCCCTCCACATCAAATGCGTACACACTTTGATCGGCTCGGTCCATTATCATAACGCGACCATCACAAGTAGCAGAGATATCGATTTCATTCTTGAACACTTCAAAGCTGCAAACAAACTCGCCACTCGGTTCGTGCACATCAACAATAGTACGTCCCATCGACTTCCACAGGTATGTCTTCAGCAGAATTTTGCTGCCTTGTTTGAGACTGCTCACTGTTAGTTTGTCTTCCGTCCAATCCCCGCTCCTCACAGGAAACGTGTGCTCTAGGTCAGCGGTCTTGTTGTCAATCTTGTTGTAAACCTGCACTTCCCTACATTTCTTAGCCCCAGGCTTGTTCAGTGTGACAAGTAGATAGATTTTTTCGCCCTCGCCTGCAGCGACATCTACAATATGTAACGTTGTATCGGTGCCATCAGCTTGAGGATCAAACTTAAAATCAAACTTTCCGTTGCTATCAAACACCTTCAAGATCCCACTGTCTGCTATCAGGAACTGTCCTTTGATGTTTGTAGCGATACCACACGGAAGGCTCAGAGTGTCCTCCCATTCACCCTCCTGCCCAAATGACCATAGTAAACAGCAGTGCTCCATATTAACTTTTTGCAGTACCTTTGATATTCTTCCATCGTGCAGAGGGTCAACTTTATCTTCTCCAGTGTCGACAAATGGCCAGACCGAGGCATCTCAACCGACTGCTCGTGTCGCATTGTAGATGGCACGATTTACCTGGCATACCGTGGAAATTATCTTTCTTCTTTCTTCTTTACCATACCGACCTCTGACATTAAGGAAACCTTCACCTAGCTCCACTTTAAAGTTATCCTGAACAGCAGGAAGAGAGTGGAGTTTGTGAAGACATTCTTCGCACTCTGGTAATGAATTATTCAAAGCAGTTTTTAAGGATGAAGGCGACATGTCGCCCGAGGTTCCAGCTGTCTCCACCACTGACTCTAATATGGTTGCCATGACACGATATCGAATGGCTGTGATCCGGTCAAAGATCTTCAGAGCTTCGTTGTTGGAGGCCTCTGTTGCTTTTTCACGAGCCATCTCGAACCTCTTTTTGGCTTGAAAAAAGTTGTTTTTCATCGTTTCATTGAAATCCATTTTTTCGAACTTTCCTATTTCCGCGGCGACAGAAACTGTCTTCATTGCCTCTTCTAAGTCATTTTCGCTAAGATTCTCGTCTGTGATTTTCACACGGGCTTGGCCATTGGGTTTTACATCGAATGCTTCAAATAAATACCTGATCCCTATTTTAAAGGAGTCTACAGCTACAAGAAGATCCTTTCTTGATAATCCGTCCAACTTTGTCTTGATATCTTCCACTTCACGGACGATCAAATCACGGATTTTTTGATCCGCTACGTCGCCTTCTTTCAGCCTCTCTGCTGTCACATCTCTTCCTTTATTCACGAGCCAACCGATGGTGGCACTAAATACAGATGTGATAATCGATGACATGTCTCAGAACACCAAACAACGTTCTGTAAACTAAAAAGAGGAGTTTTTGTTGAGCAGAAAAACAGCACATATCTGCCTGACAAAAATAAACAGAAAACCCGTGTAAAGCAGTTATGCGCGATCAAGCTAACCTGAAATCCTGCGTTCTTTTCGGCTTTTCTAAAAGGTAAGTTTGATGAATGGCAGTTCTTCAGCCTAGTCCCTAGGCGTTCTCTCTTGCCCCGTTGTCCGCGCGAAGTCTGGGAAAGAGCGGGCGAGAGAACGCCTAGCCAACCCCTGATTTTAGAGCAATTTTACGCCTGGTCACATTTTACGAGTTTCTACAGCTCCATTTTCGAAAAACTGCTCGCCGATAGTATGGATGTGTCGGTTGAAGTGTCTGCAAACAGCGGTAAGTTCTAACTTTGTAACATATTATTTTTTCTGGTTAATATTTTGTTCGTCGTGGTGGATTGTTTACAGTCAAAGATTCTCCTAGTCTGCGATTCACGCTAAAATTCTCGTAGACCCAAAAGAACGATGCAAATAGACCTTGTCACGGTTTTCGACGCCATCTTGACGAATAGGCAAGCGCGTGAGAAATAACAGTGATTGTATGAGAATCTAATGTCGAATGATTTCCGTATAACGGCTGTTCTGAAAAAAATATGATTTGTAAACTAAAGCTTCACTCCTGAGGATTCTCCTGGAAAAAATTTGAGGGCGTTACATGCACTAGAAGACCTAGAACCACTTTTTAAAATTTTCTATACATTTGTCTGTAAGAAAGTCCCGGGAAAATTACAGACAAATATATGGAAAATCTAAAGAAAGCCTCTGGAAAAATTTCCGCAGTTACGCCCCCCAATTTTTTTT